TATGGTTTATTTGGAATAGTATTTTCAATTTGGTTCTTTTGAAAAGTGTTTTGGAAAGTGCATTTTCTAGCCTTCAGGATATAGCATTTGTCGCCTTCAATTGCAGTCTTCCATCGATGTCGTAGGCGATCATGGCTCTCCAGAATTTTCTGTCCTGTGTAGCTCTTAATAAATTGTCCTTTTGTTAGCTCTCTTAAACCTCGCTCTGCTATCCATTTATTCAAGTTTGCTTCGTAGGTTATGCGTTGTTTTTCTCTGTCTCTCTTCCCCTCGATCTAGCCTTTGAGTATTAAATTTTCCAAGCCCTCTTTTCTTGTTATACGCCCTAAACATTTTAACTATCTCTTCCTGTTAAGTGTCCTTTTTGTTTTCATTTTCTCTAACACTTCGTCGTTGCTCACATGTTCAGTCGATGGTATTTTCAGAATCCTTCTGTAGAACCATATTTCTGTTGCTTTAAGTCTCTTCATCTGCGTGGAGATTTGTCTCGCATTCACTACCATATAGGAAGATATTACGTAAGAATTCAGTACTCTTTACTTTCAAACGAAATTTTTCTCTTTCTTAATACTTTGCTCATCTTTTGGAAAGGATCTTTCGCTATCCCAATGCGCTTTCGGATTTCCATGTCACACTTTCCGTCCCCAGTTAATACACTTCAGTATTTAAAGAAGCCTGGATAACGTTTAAGCCTAACTGAAAAAGTAAGATAGTCGCTTGAAGAAGCAATGAAATGAGTTCGAAATATATTTAACTTAAAAACTTACTCAAAATATGGAACATTAAATTAGACCCATAATCAGCGTATATTCTAAATTATAGCTTGAAATCATCCTATGTCCGAATATAGGATAAAAAAATATTTTTAGGATTACTCCCACTTATTCTGCGAAAACGTCCGTCAGATGGCGCTGTTTAAGAAATATAAAAGACACTCTTTCTTTTCCATAAGATATTATCCCATAAAACACTTTTACCATATTTTCTCAGATAAATAACGATTAGTGACAGTGGTGTGTTCATCTAACTGCCGGGTCCTGTTTGACTAAAGAAATTTGATTTAAATTCTCCCAGGATTCGTCTTTATAACTATATAAATAAATTAAAAAAAAAAAGTAAAAAACCAAAACATTTATATTGAAATTAATATTCAGTAATATCTACAGTAATATACAATAAATATTTTTACAAATAATTTATAAATGAAACCTTTCAAAATTAATTTGTGAAAAAAAAAAAAGTTTCATTAAAATCTTGTGACGGTCCTAATTTTCACAAGAATTTCCAAATTTGTTTTTTTATTACAAAAAGTCTATTCGTTCAGTAAATTTATAAATGTGGGATCAACAAAAACAGATTTTTTTAAATAAATTTATCAATGTTTTAACCCTGATGAGTGTTTCAGTGCAAAACTCAAATTGGCTAACCAGATAAGTAAAGTTCAATTGACTTATATATAGTATCCATAATATATTCATAAAAACAGTTTACAGTTTTTCGTATTAAATAACGATTCAGAACAGATTTTATATATGATTTTGGTCCTAAAAAATTTGACCAAAGAAATTTGATTTAAATTCTCCCATTTTATTGTCTTTATAACTAATATAAATCTTAAGCGCTAAAAAAAAACAAAAAAATATTCTCAAAATTTCATGAAATTGATCAAGTAAAAGGTGGAGTAACGTGTAAGATAAATATTTTTACGAAAATATTATAAAAGAAACCTTTCAAAAATTAATTTCTGAATGAATTCTGAAAGTTTCCTTAAAATCAGACAATTAGCTGATTTTCACAAGAATTTTCCAAATCAGTGTGTTTTTCACCACAAAAAGACGCTCAAATATCCCTACAAATTTATGGTCCCACGTTAACGCCACAAAAACAGATTTTTAACTAAAATTTCCAATGTTCTAAAAAAGAAAGAGAAATAAATAAATATCAGACCAAAAACCAAAATATGCTATAAATACTAATCTCATAAATTATGTATTCTTGTTAAATTATTGCTCCCGTGCACAACTAAGTCGGCCTAAAGATTTCTACAAAAGAAAAAAAAGATTACAGGTCATCATTTTAAAAATATAAGTCTTAGACGTCTATGATGTATAATGTATAGTGATTTTTTGACACCAAAGGCAGTAACAAAATAACTGGACTTTGAACCCATCACCAAATTAGTCTTATTGAATGAGAGCGCACCAAAACAACGAGGTGCCGGGGTATAAATATACAGAACCCAATAAACTAATAAAACCAGTTAAATGCACGCGATATGGGGACACGTTTTCACCAAGAGTTACATATTTTTAGTTTCGTAAGTAAAAGCCAAATAAAAAAAAATATCTGTACTGGACAATGTTACGCTAAAGTGAAACAAACTGCTCGATTCTAAAAGCGATAAGATTGAACAGTTTGCCTTGGTAGGAAATATGCAGCTATGTCATTCATTCCATTTACGGGAAAGGAAATATAAATGCATGCACACACATATTTATATGTTCTATAACTAGCTTCAGGGTTGGATGCAGTTTATTAGATGATTATGTTGTTGTGTCAGATTTTAGCTTATGGCCGACTTGAAAAATTTGATTGGTATTGCGATGACTGCTTTAAGTTTGCATGTTTTTTCAAACCTGACCCTCAATTAGGTACTATACTTGCTTTTAAATGTTATCTGTCAAATACCTCTGGAAATAAATAAAATTTTACTTTTACCCTGTTAATCTTTTTGTAAGGACGTGGACACTATTATTTTAAACAAACAGTCTTTTCTGTGTCCGATGTGTTGAGTTTGGGATCAGCCTTGTTCCGGTTTTGGTGTAAGGTAGAAGACATCAAATTTGAAGATGCCTTTGGTCCCTAGAGGTTACAAAACTGAGATCGTAGCTGAGCATTGCAATAAAATGGGAGTGTCATGAGATGACCTGACACCTTTGTGGCTGAGACATTTTACCGATAACAACCTAGAATATCCCGTTATAATACCCATGGTTAAAGGGAAACGAATATACCCTGAAATTTCGAAGTTTTTGAGGTTCCTACGTCAAGATTTATCACTATTTTCTGCAGGTTCGTAATTATAAATTCAGTTTAGCGTTGATAAAACAAAGGGAATTCTAGTTGACCATCAGGTTAATTTTAAACTGACAATTTTGATTGCGATGCGACAATAGACATGAGGTTCTATGCGTTTGACACAGATTCTTGTTTCATTAAATAATCGTGGAGCATCAAGATTCCGGATCATCATAATAAAGCATCAAACTTTTAGGCTTAACTTGTGTATTGACATACTAGACAATTCTAAGGAATTGAAAAATTCTGTAGGATTTTGCCGAGCCTGTTCATCATTCAACGTTGAATCCGTAGAAGAGAAAGTTTTTCTTCACCTGGAATTTCATTGAGCAGTTGTTGATTGATAACACGCACCAAGTTGTTTTTAGATGCTAGAATTGCTCCCTCAATTAGCCATTCATAATTCACATAGTTCTCTGCTATATTTGGGTACACCTTCTTCCCCCGGTTCTTCAACTGAAGAAACAACTGATACTAATCCTGGAGGAATTACAATGTTGTCATGGTCGCTCTTAGCAATCTTACTATTCTCAGTAATAAAGATGCAAACTCACTAGTCAATGACTCTCTGTTAAGATAGACTCTCATATTAGTATTTAACGTTACTGTCGTTATGTTCTTTCACAAATATGACAATTTAATGCAAGTGTTGTGTTCGTCAGCGTGGTTTCCATGTGGAACTACAGGAAGTGTTTGTCGGAAGTTACCTGATAATAAAAGCTTGATGCTACCAATCAATAATCACATCTCTTGAAATCACGCAATATTTTATCTAGATATTCAAATGCTTTTTTTATGTGCCACAGCATCATATTTAGATGTAACAGAGTCTATCTTCTTCAATTACTTTAAAGTACTTTTATTAAAAAAACCTTTTTGAATTACTGATATAACAAAAGTAGTCTGTATTTATTCAATCGAACTTAGCCGAGGACATGAAGGGGCAAAACAGGCAACATGAAGAACCGCTTCAGACCACAATTATTTTCGAGTTTTTAAAATTCACTTTGTCAGTGTGCTAACAGGGATACATTTATAAAGCAAGAAGATACATTTATAAAGCAATTGTTTGATGAAAATTGATTGAATGGTTAAGGAAAAATAAGAAAAAACTAGTAAAAATCGCCATTTTTCGCTATTTACGAGGCTTTTCACTATATGGATGGACTCAATTATCAAGTTAAATGACTCTTAAACAATAAAATTTGAGTTTTTATTAAATTGCTTGAAAATTGAGGGAGTTTTTAGTTTAAAATTTGTGTTGAAATCGATTTTTCGTTTTTCACTGTCCTTCGCTAAACGCAGTGGCGTAGAAATAAAATTGAGGTATCGTTGAGCTCGTCATGATGTAAGTAATCTACATACCGAGTTTGAACGAAATTGGAGGGAAAAAAGTTGAATTTATCGATTTTTGATTGGCTTTATTGATTTTTTAAAATGATCGGTTGTTACGCTAAGAACTTGCATCTTACATTGTACAATGTATGTGCTAAGTTTGGTCAAAATCGGTTAAATGGAACTCTAGTTAAAAAGGTATCACACTGACATCTTGTTTTATATATATAGAGATAAAAAAATAAGTCTAATGAATGTAAATTCAATTTGAAATACAGCAAATTATTTTGCTTATTGGAAATATTAAATTTAATCTATTGCAATTAAAAGAATAAAATAAAAACTCCAAGTAAGAAATTTCATTTTCAAATGCATTTGAAACCTTAGGCATTGCTTTCTTTGAAGGTACCTGATTTAATGTTATATGAACTATATACACAGGCGTACATTCATAATGTATTAAGATATGTTGGTTGCTACTTGCAAGCATAGTTTCTACTAAAATGTTGAAATTAGTTTCTGTATTTGAAAATTTTCTATTTTCTAAAGAAATTGTTAGTTTAATTAATCTTCTTTTCTATTTACAGCTCAACAGAAAATGGAGTTTACATCTTCAACCAGCAGTCTCGCTCAAATCCCTCAAATATACCTACGCAAAGTGGTAAGCATAATAAATATGGATCTCATACTGTTTTAGGATCGTTATTAGCTAGATGATAATTGTTAGGTCAAATCAATGGATATATCCGTTATTAGATTTGGCAATTTGCCAAATGTTTCTTAACTCCTCTTTATCTTGGAATAAAGATAAACAGAACTTTGTCGAGGTTGACTATAAGAGCAGCAGTTTTCCTGTTATTGTTTGTTCATGCTAATTTTGGGTGAGTGGTTAACTTTTTTAATCGATATCACCCCATCCAAGGCAGCAAAGTCAGTAAAGTGCACGAGGTTACAGGGTGTGGAAGAATTAGGAACAGAAACATTAATGATGAACGGAAAGAGAAATCGGCAGGACAGTAGGTCAAAGTTGACTGGAAATTATGGAACAGGGGGGGGGAGTTCCACAAGGGACAAGTGCGAGAAAAGAAACTGTTAGCATAGAACTTACGGCTACATCTAGCCAGCTCAACTGTAAAGTGATGAAATCTCAACATCAGTCTAATACTGCACCTAAATTTTTAAAAAAATGTCTAGGTACCATAGCGAAGAACATTTACCATGGAAGTATTTATAGTAATGACTGGGAAATAACTGAAGTCGAGTCGCTACATCAGGACCAATAATATTGCTGATTCTTCTTTGGGTCTTATCAAGTAGCTCTAGGTAAATAGCAGGGGCAGCTGACATATGCGGCTGCAATATTCTAAGCACGGACGAATAGTATACTTATAAATATGTAACATAGATTCTGGAGGAAATAATTGTCTCGCACGTCACAGTGAATCAACTTTCTTAGCAGCAGATCTAGCAATGGATTCAATATAGTCATTCCACTTCATGTCAGCTGAGGAACGTTAGCATGAGAAGATTCAACTACTCTCACCTATTCGTCTACTCCGCTTTTCTGTCGATCAACGTGGTATGCCAGTGACTAGACATAGTGCAAGAAGAAGAATTCCTGCGAATCGAAAAGGAGTAGCCCTGACTGAAATTTGCTTTTACATCATAACGGGTACAACTGAGTAATATTCATAATCTATATAGTTCCAAAGAATAATTGGATGTTTTAAAAGTGTTGAATTCATCATATTCTATTTCTTCAAACGTTATTTCTGGGAGATGCCCCCTTTTTTATGGTCTAAACAAAGTTCATTTCGTCTACCGGCTTGTGCATTTGAGAAAACTTAGTAAAGAAAATGTGCTCTCTGGCAGTATTTGAACTTTCGTTTCACGCTTCATAGTAGAAATCACCGTCTGATCAACCATAATTTAGACCACAGTGAGTATGTATTTGTTTGTTATATAATAGATATCTACCCAAATGTGTATCCATTAGATATGTATTACCTTTCAGATACGAAATTCAAGTTAGCAGATACGGGCTTCGATGATCCTAACGAGGTGTACTTTCCTTAAAAAATATCCGAGTCATTCTTTGGCCATGTAGTTCTTGGTTTTTATTCTGCTTAAAAAAAATTCTGTGTATAAATGAATTAACATTTTAGAATTTCTAATTTTTCACTCTTTAACTTAGAGTATTCAAGGTGCAAGCGATATTTTGGAGAGAATAACTTTCACCGGCTCGCACTTAATGATCATATTTTTTAATCATATCACCCCACCCAAAGACAAAAGGTTACTGAGTGTGAAAGAATAAGAAAAAAAAAAGGAACCATAATTAAGGAGTGACAACAATAGAAGAATAATCAAGAAGACAGTAGATAACGATTTTTGAAGGTCAACGTGTTTCGCAAGTGAAAAGTGCTAGAAAAACTAGCCAATTTAACTGTGAATTGATGAAACCTTGCAGCCAATCTAGTACTGCGCTTAAATTGAAGTCGAGATACCATAGCGAAGAGTTCATTCAAACTTTATCATGAAAGTGTTTATAAAAAAATTCACAGGTAAGATACATTACGGTGATGAGAATGTGATTGAATCAGAGATGCCAGGTCAGGGCCAATAATATTTCTGATTCTTCTTTTGATTTTATCAAGAATCTCTAAACCAACTTTCTTAGTAGCAGGCACTGAATTCAATACAATCTTTTTAGCTATAAGTCCGAGAAGGCGCGATAAGTCAATGTCATGGAGCTTAATATCACAGCCATGGTGATGGGAGGTAGGAAGGGATCTTTATCGTTTGCCTGGAGTTTGAGTTTTGTTTCATCATTTGATTTTTCTATTTCTGATTTCAGGAAAATTAAATGAATTATAATTCTTTTATGTTTTCATTTTAATATATAACATTTAATTACACCCTACCGTGCAAATGATCTAACACACGGTAATGTATTTTGATGGATTTCGAGTAGACATGTGATGGCCATGTCCATAGTTTGTTCTAAGTTCAATATTAAGTCGGAATCCTGGTATGAGAAAACTGACTTCAGATGCAACAGATTTCTTCTTTCAAAAAGTTTGGCAAAATCCACAGAATATACAGAAAAATATCCGCAGGCATTTCTTATCAGTTTTCCCTTAACTGATTTGCAGCATACATAGCTATTTTTTCTGAGTTGAAAATGGCACGATATTTTTTTGGTTTCCTCGTATAGTTATTCCATCAAACTATTTTACTTTATTCCGTCACTTATCGAGATATTGCGTAATTTCAGATTCCCATTAAAGCTATCAAGATCTCTTTATTGATGTAAGTAAAACCTTCACTTGTCCGATACGTACTGAAATGTTTGGGGCTAGCGAAAAGATCAGAAAAAATAGATTTCACGTTTGGTTCGAGCTTGCTTCAGCTCCTTGCTTCTTAGGAGAAAGAGTGACGTCACACAGGACAGGTTTTAACGAAAACAGTAGGGAAAACTTATGGTTAATAAAGTTAGGGGTTAAGCGAGTAAACAAAGAACGTGGAGTAAGACAAATATGCGTTTTTTTTTAACCAGATTATTTAACTGATATAGCAAGAAAATTCTAAGAGAAGTAGAAGATCTACCAGGGTTTATTATCGGCAGACAATCTTAATATATGATTCACAGAAACTGTCAACAGAATCAGAAGTAAAACAGCAAGTGTTCCTAGAAAGCGTAAAAATGACAATTGTTAGAAGATATAACGTATATTCGTTAGAAAGAGGGACAGATAAACGCGTGAGCTACAAATCAGAGGCATCCGAATAAACAAAATGCATACATTTGAGTAGTGTAGCAACAGACAACGGAAAATTTGGCACCGAAATCCGAAAGCACAGATAAATAGCAAAAAAAAAAAGAAAATAAAAGCTTTCCATCAGTTAAACAAAGTATTAAGATATCCAAAATGCTTAGAAATAAAGAAAAGAGTGCTGAAATTCTGTGTCATGCCTATCCTTATATGTCCGTGAATGATGAAGAATTTACTTGAAGATGAAGAATAAACGCAAAGCGAAAGAAATGTACAGATGTTGAGAAACTGAACATTAGCAAGGAGAAAGATTTTACGAAAATGAGAACTAAAAGGAAACAGATGCTTAAAGGTGTAAAACACTTAATATGTGTAGGTTATACAATGAATAAAGAAGGGTTGGATAATTTAACAAACACAGGACAAGTAGAGAGAAAAGTAGGTAGAGGAAACAGCTTGTAACTTAATGTGTTTGTGGGAATGGTTGGAATAGCGGGGACAAAACGTCATGGTAAAGATTCAAACGTTGTGGATCAGAACGCGGCCCATAAAAGACATTTATAGTGGTTTGTGAAAGCATTCCCACCTCCAGCAAAAGCAATGTTAAGTTTGGACTAAGTATTTTACCATAGTTTAACTCGATATGATTAATAATATTACTAAATACACTTTGCTAAAACAGTTATATCTATATTGCATATGCATTCCTATCTATGTCGCAAAAGATCTTATTCTTACTCACAAAATTGCTACATTACAAACTGTTACAAACCTGAAAAGAATAAAAACGGACAAATCTATAAATATATAGCCAGTTCAAATGAAGGAATCAAAAGGTACTGTTATCGGTTGTCATACAGTTTATGCCATACCAAATGTAGAATTTGTACACGTGCAATGTTACTATGGACAAGGGCAAATGCATAGAAATCGTGAAGGAATACCTCTTCAAGACTACAAGAAGACTGAAGCTAGGGAAAAAGCTCATATTACAACAATCTCGAGCGTGTGTCTTGAATATCTCTGGAATGGCTTCGCAAGAGAAAATGACTGATGATTTTTGACAAAATCGGAGTCTAGATATGAATATAGTAAACTTCTTGAAGGATCTGTAAATAGCTGGAGTGACATTGCAAAGAGTGAACTTTTCAAGTACCATTGCGCAAAACTTATCACAGCCTACCCAAAGAGACTGGAAACATATTTTTGCAAAAGAGGTTGTTACAAAATACATACTTGACGAAATGTGAATAATTTTGCAACACTGTAAAAATTAATATTTTGTCTTAAAATTTAACTATTGACTTAAGTTTGTAATTCTTCCAACGACTTGAACTAAATTCAGTGTACACATTTAACATTTGCTAAAGGAAGTATTTTGAGAATATATTTGGTGCAACTTTGGCTTGTTATCTACGAGGAAGCAATATCTACACCGTACAAATCTTGCTTGGGATTAATATCTACAACAGGTATTACTTTGGATTGTTATATTTTCCTTGTAGATAACAAGCCAAAGTAGTATATTTTTTTTTACTATGTAGAAATTCCAAAATAAAATTTGTACGGTGTAAACATTTTAGCCGACGTACTTGCTTCTTATGGCTACAATATAAATAAAAAAATATGATAATTACATTTTCTTTGTTTATATATATATATATATATATATATATATGTATGTTTTGCTATGTAGATCTCATTCCAAAATAAGATTTGTAGTGTAGATATTTTCCTTCTAGATAACAAGCCAAATTAGCACCATATATTTTCCACGTGAATTTTGCAACCAACTTGAAATCCTTAAACATTTATGGCTAGCTGAAAGAAAGATAAATATATTTACGAACGTTATATTTATCCCTAAATGTACCAATTTAACTAT